TAACCTCAAGATTGACTAGTTACCCCCAAAACCCCGCCACACCCCCGTTTTCTTCCTCACAGGGAAGAGAACGGGGGGATGTGTGAGGGGGTAACTTTACAAGATCGACGTGTAACGTGACCTCAGGAACGGCGCCGAACGCGGTGAGTTACGCTCGTGCTCTAGGAGGGACCGTCTGGACCATTACGTCTAATACGTTATCATTGACAACTTTATAAAGTTCTTTATCAGGATAAGTTAGTGGGAGGGCGGGAATGTGAGCAGGTTGTGGCGTGCTTCAGGATATGTCAGAGGCGGTGTAAGGGGGAGACTGGTGGCCTACGGCTCGTAATACAACTATGTTAGCTTTCTCCTTTAGCATCGTTCTTGCTGGTGACACAGGGGGGGGGGGACACACGTGACACAGCGGGGACACACGTGACACAGGGGGGACACACGGGACACACGTGACACAACGGGAACACATGACACAGGGGTGTTTATCTAGGGAGTGCTGGAAATGTTCAGTAGCAGTGACACGAGCATGGTTACACAGTGGTGGTGGTTACCACCTCCACCACACAACCACCACACCACCACCACCACCACCACCCAACCACCACACAACCATGGTGGAATGCATTGGGTGCATTCACCACAGGTGGAATGCATTAGGCAGTGATGTGGTGGAGGCTGACTCCATACACAGTTTCAAGTGTAGATATGATAGAGCCCAATAGGCTCAGGAACCTATACACCAGTTGATTGACAGTTGAGAGGCGGGACCAAAGAGCCAGAGCTCAACCCCCGCAAGCACAACTAGGTGAGTATTAGGAGAGTACAACCACCACCACCACATAACCACCACCACCACACCACACAACCACCACCACACAACACAACCACCACACAACCACCACCACCACACAACCACCACCACCACCACACAACCACCACCACCACCACCACCACCACCACCACACAACCACCACACAACACAACCACCACCACCACACAACCACCACCACCACACCACACAACCACCACCACACAACACAACCACCACCACACAACCACCACCACCACACCACACAACCACCACCACCACACCACACAACCACCACCACCACACAACACAACCACCACCACACAACCACCACACAACACAACCACCACCACCACACAACCACCACCACCACACCACAACACAACCACCACCACCACACAACACAACCACCACCACACCACACAACCACCACCACCACACCACACAACCACCACCACCACACAACACAACCACCACCACACCACAACACAACCACCACCACCACACAACCACCACCACCACACAACACAACCACCACCACACAACCACCACCACACAACACAACCACCACCACCACACAACACAACCACCACCACACAACCACCACCACCACACAACCACCACCACACAACACAACCACCACCACACAACACAACCACCACCACCACACAACCACCACCACCACACAACACAACCACCACCACACAACACAACCACCACCACACAACACAACCACCACCACCACACAACCACCACCACCACACAACCACCACCACACAACACAACCACCACCACCACCACACAACCACCACCACACAACACACCACCACCACACAACACAACCACCACCACCACACAACCACCACCACCACACAACACAACCACCACCACACAACACAACCACCACCACCACACAACACAACCACCACCACACAACACAACCACCACCACCACACAACCACCACCACCACACAACCACCACACAACCACCACCACCACACAACCACCACACAACCACCACCACCACCACACACCACCACCACCACACAACCACCACCACCACACAACCACCACCACGACACCACACAACCACCACCACCACACAACCACCACCACCACACAACAACCACCACCACCACACCACCACCACCACCACACAACAACCACCACCACCACACAACCACCACCACCACACCACACAACCACCACCACCACACAACCACCACCACCACACAACCACCACCACCACACAACCACCACCACCACACAACCACCACCACCACCACCACACCACCACCACCACCACACCACACAACCACCACCACCACACAACCACCACCACCACCACACAACAACCACCACCACCACACAACCACCACCACCACACAACCACCACCACCACCACACACCACCACCACCACACAACCACCACCACCACACAACCACCACCACCACCACACAACCACCACCACCACACAACCACCACCACCACCACACAACAACCACCACCACCACACAACCACCACCACCACACAACCACCACCACCACACAACCACCACCACCACACAACCACCACCACCACCACACAACCACACAACACCTTGTAGAAGCGTGAACACGAGAAAGTTAACTTGTTATCTAGTTATAAGTTTGGTGTGCGAGGTCTTGCTCTCTCTCGCCTGTATTGCTGTGATTTCTTGCCCAAGTTGATGTGTTGTGCTGACCTCTGGTGGTAACCCTGGGTCAACATGGTCACTACACCCCCTCCTGTCCCACCGCCCCGTCCCACAACCCCTCCCCGTCCCACAACCCCTCCCCGTCCCACAACCCCTCCCCGTCCCACAACCCCTCCCCGTCCCACAACCCCTCCCCGTCCCACAACCCCTCCCCGTCCCACAACCCCTCCCCGTCCCACAACCCCTCCCCGTCCCTTACTCCCCAGGCTATCAACAAATAACCTGACCAACCTCTCCCCAATCTGCCACCTGGATTAGGCGCCATTAATCGTCGCTGTTCTTCCTGCCTCACTAATCACTCTTTACTCGCCTCCATCCCAGAGAACACAATTACATTACCGCCGGTGGCGTCCGCTGACGCCTGAGGGAGACTCATCGCTGACACTCACGGTACTCACCTATCTTCATTGACGTGGTAAGGTCGCTGAAACTGCCGCATGGTATCTGTGGATATAAATGAAGACTAGTTAGAACACACAGACTACGGGCTATTCATGCCCGTGCCACCTCTTGGGTGGCTTAATCTTTATCAATCATCAATCAACACACAGACATATTAAGAAATCAATTACAGTTCTCCAGGAAGGAGCTGGGCTAGGGGATAGCATCTTGAGGCTATCTTGAGATGATTGCGGGGTTTAGCGTCCCCGCGGCCCGGTCCTCGTCCAGGCCTCATTTTTGTTACACATCCCCAGGAAGCAGCCCGTAGCAGCTGTCTAACTCCCAGGTACCTATTTACTGCTAGGTAACAGGGGCATCAGGGTGAGAGAGACATTTTTGCACATTTGTCTCCGCCTCCACCGGGGATCGAACCCGGAACCTCATGACTATGAATCCGAAGCACTGTCCACTCAGCTATCAGGCGCCATGACTGAAGTATACACATTGTTATGACGCTGTTCGTTCAAAACAACTTCAAACTGTCATACAAATCAACTTTCAATCATGTTAGATGGCACAATGTATATCTACCTTGAGGTGCTTCCGGGGCTTAGCGTCCCCGCGGCCCAGTCGGCGACCAGGCCTCCTCCTCCTCCTCTAGTTTCAGTTGAGATCAGACACTAGACCTACCGTTTGAAATAAATTTAAAAATTCAAATTCAGAGGACAGCCTAGTGTGCCGTTTTCCAACGGTCGGTGCCAGACGCCACAGGGAACACCACACTGGCGCCAGCAGCGGCAGACGACAGCTCCGAAGGGCGTCATCCTCCGCATCAAGAATAGACACCTGATTGGCTGCAAGCATCATGACTCAACCAATTGAAGGAGTGATATGAGGTACGGGCTCACCATGGCCCGTGCTACTTCAAACTTTTTCTTCCAGGTATAGCGAATCTTAAACATGATGTGAGGTCACGTGACAGGCACCAGAGTGTACTCACCTAGTTGTACTCACCTAGTTGTGTTTGCGGGGGGTTGAGCTCTGGCTCTTTGGTCCCGCCTCTCAACCGTCAGTCAACTGGTGTACAGATTCCTGAGCCTACTGGGCTCTGTCATATCTACACTTGAAACTGTGTATGGAGGCTGCATGGCGACAAGTCGCCGTGGAGGCCTACCTTGAGGTTACCTTGAGGTTACCTTGAGGTGCTTCCGGGGCTTAGCGTCCCCGCGGCCCGGTCGTTGAGGCTCAGGAATCAGGCCGACGACACTTAAGACGGAGTCGTGGTTGTAAAGGTTACCTTCAAGAATTTAGTGAATTGTTGATTGTTGCTTGTGTCAGGCAGCCAGGAGCCTACCTTTCCTTGAGGTGCTTCCGGGGCTTAGCGTCCCCGCGGCCCGGTCGTCGAAGCCGCCCGTAACAACGGGACGCGTTACGAGTCACTTATGTCACCTTCTGGGCAAACATTTATTGTCGAATTCGACAAATTATAGTGAAACACAAACGTTGAAAAAAGGGCCTGACGGCTCAGTAGACAGCGCTCGGGATTCGTAGTCCTAAGGTTCCGGGTTCAATCCCCCGGTGGAAACAAATGGCCAGTGTTTCTTTCACCATGATTCCCCCTGTTCACCTAGCAGTAAATAGGTACCTGGGACATAGACAGCTGCTACGGGCTGCTTCCTGGGGGTTGTGTATTCTAAAAGTAGGCCTGGTTGAGGACCGGGCCGCGGGGACGCTAAGCCCCGAAATCATCTCAAGATAACTGAAGATATTAACGGTCAGGGACCGCTGAGTCAAGTTAAACGTTATTTTTGATTCTTGGAGTTAAACTCCAAGATTCCCTACGACTTTTGAGGGGCTGTCCTCCACTACAGCGGCCAGATTCACGAAGCAGTTACGCAAGCACTTACGAACCTGGGGCCAGATTCACGAAGCAGTTACGCAAGCACAGGGGCCAGATTAACGAAGCAGTTACGCAAGCACTTACGAACCTGGGGCCAGATTCACGAAGCAGTTACGCAAGCACTTACGAACCTGGGGCCAGATTCACGAAGCAGTTACGCAAGCACTTACGAACCTGGGGCCAGATTCACGAAGCAGTTACGCAAGCACAGGGGCCAGATTAACGAAGCAGTTACGCAAGCACTTACGAACCTGGGGCCAGATTCACGAAGCAGTTACGCAAGCACTTACGAACCTGGGGCCAGATTCACGAAGCAGTTACGCAAGCACAGGGGCCAGATTAACGAAGCAGTTACGCAAGCACTTACGAACCTGGGGCCAGATTCACGAAGCAGTTACGCAAGCACTTACGAACCTGGGGCCAGATTCACGAAGCAGTTACGCAAGCACAGGGGCCAGATTAACGAAGCAGTTACGCAAGCACAGGGGCCAGATTAACGAAGCAGTTACGCAAGCACTTACGAACCTGGGGCCAGATTAACGAAGCAGTTACGCAAGCACTTACGAACCTGGGGCCAGATTCACGAAGCAGTTACGCAAGCACTTACGAACCTGGGGCCAGATTCACGAAGCAGTTACGCAAGCACAGGGGCCAGATTAACGAAGCAGTTACGCAAGCACTTACGAACCTGGGGCCAGATTCACGAAGCAGTTACGCAAGCACAGGGGCCAGATTAACGAAGCAGTTACGCAAGCACTTACGAACCTGGGGCCAGATTCACGAAGCAGTTACGCAAGCACTTACGAACCTGGGGCCAGATTCACGAAGCAGTTACGCAAGCACAGGGGCCAGATTAACGAAGCAGTTACGCAAGCACTTACGAACCTGGGGCCAGATTCACGAAGCAGTTACGCAAGCACTTACGAACCTGGGGCCAGATTCACGAAGCAGTTACGCAAGCACTTACGAACGTGTACATCTTTCCTCAATCTTTGACGGCTTTGGTTACATTTATTAAACAGTTTACAAGCATGAAAACTTGCCAATCAACTGTTGTTATTGTTATAAACAGCCTCCTGGTGCTTCCGAGCTCATTAACTGTTTAATAATTGTAAACAAAGCCGCCAAAGATTGAGAAAAGATGGACAGGTTCGTAAGTGCTTGCGTAACTGCTTCGTGAATCTGGCCCCTGGAGAGTATCGTTTGAAACTCACTGTTCATCTTACCCTAAGTTGGAGTCCTGGCGCCTAAGTCACCCTGTGGCCAGTGACAGACAGTGAGGGCAGGTCGTTGGGTCGCGAACCACGTGACAAAAGCAGTGACAGTAATTACCCAAGTGAAGTTACTGGATGAGAGCTACGCTCGTGGTGTCCCGTCTTCCCAGCACTCTTTGTCATATAACGCTTTGAAACTACTGACGGTCTTGGCCTCCACCACCTTCTCCCCTAACTTGTTCCAACAGTGAAGCCAGTGAGGTGCCTATATGATGCACAATGACGTGAGAGTGAGCAGTGTAACGTGAGAGTGAAGAGTCCCGCGAACATGTGTGGATAACTGCTTACCTGAGCACTTGATAGTGATACTATGATGTGTATGGGGGGGGGAGAGGGATCACGTGACGAGGGGGGGGGAGTGGGAGCCCTAAGCCTAGTCTCAAATCACATGTGGTATTCACAGTTGTCAAACACATGTGCATCTTCCTGCAGAACAACAACAGGTTTCAACAACCATTTATGCATCTTGAGAGCCGAAAATCATCTAGATCATTTCTCTTAAACATATATAGTATATAGTATAGTATATAAGTATATATATATATATATATATATATATATATACTATAGCCCTTCAATTACCTTTAACAGGTAGATCTACATCTTATTCCCGAGACATTTTCTATACATGGACATTTATTTATTTTCTCGTGTCTGACTATATATAATAATTGAAGAATATATTAATTTTTTAAATTAATTTGATGGTAGAAGTCTATAGCGACATCCAGAGGTGAAGAACGGTATAATTTTGTTGCCTATTTAATATTACATTTAATGACTAATTTCATGTACTGGAGGTGACAGTTTGATTGATCACGTGAAGTTATCGACTCTCAAAGACGAGTAGTATTAGTAACCAGTAAGGACCAGTCAGTCCTGGGGGCCAGATTCACGAAGCAGTTACGCAAGCACAGGGGCCAGATTAACGAAGCAGTTACGCAAGCACAGGGGCCAGATTAACGAAGCAGTTACGCAAGCACAGGGGCCAGATTAACGAAGCAGTTACGCAAGCACAGGGGCCAGATTAACGAAGCAGTTACGAAAGCACAGGGGCCAGATTAACGAAGCAGTTACGCAAGCACAGGGGCCAGATTCACGAAGCAGTTACGCAAGCACAGGGGCCAGATTCACGAAGCAGTTACGCAAGCACTTACGAACTTTAAGTATGAAACTCGCTTCTCCAAGTTGGTCACCCGGACACACACTTAAAAGATTCAATATTTACTTGCCGTGCTGACCGTATTTATATACTTTCATGTAGAGGAAGTATAGGGATGTATGTAGGATTATATGTAGATGTAGAAATGTTTCATATAGTGTTTATAATTCCATGAAATGTTTTCTTTGACAAGACCTGTGCTTCTGTTCTCCCTTCTCTTGATGTGATGACTTGCGTCACATCCTCTTTACCTTACCTTGAGGTTACCTTGAGGTGCTTCCGGGGCTTAGCGTCCCCGCGGCCCGGTCGTCGACCAGGCCTCCTGGTTGCTGGACTGATCAACCAGGCTGTTGGACGCGGCTGCTCGCAGCCTGACGTATGAGTCACAGCCTGGTTGATCAGGTTCAGCCTCCAGCTGAACTATTACACAGATCTTTTAATTATACATTTGCTGTGGGAAGCAGCTGTGTTCGGGCGAAGCTACAGGTAACGACTATTTGCGTAGCTGCGTCGGAAAGCAGCTCTGGAGCCCAATTTGTTCTTGCACTTTCGTATAGTCAATATTGACTTATTAAATACGTGCATATGTGACATACTAATTTATTGTGAATATTTTAGTTTACCTTGAAAAGCTTCATAGAAAACACCGACCTTACCTAATCTTCTTAGTATGTTAAGATAAGCATTTTATTGCTTCGTAATTACAATTATTACTTAACCTATTATAGGTATAGGTTAAGTAATAATTGTAATTACGAAGCAATAAGATTCTTATCTTAACATACTAAGAAGGTTAGGTAAGGTCGGTGATTTCTATGAAGCTTTTCAAGGTAAACTAGTATGTTTAGTGTGTCACATATGCACGTATTTAATAAGTCAATATTGACTATACGAAAGAGCGAGAATGGGTTGGGAGGAGAGGTTCGCCGGCCGAACAAGGGGCCATCGTATGAACTTCCCAATCTTCTCCACTTCTCCTCGGGGTCAGGTTATCTAGGTTATTTTGAGATGATTTCGGGGCTTTAGTGTCCCCGCGGCCCGGTCCTCGACCAGGCCTCCACCCCCAGGAAGCAGCCCGTGACAGCTGACTAACTCCCAGGTACCTATTTACTGCTAGGTAACAGGGGCATTCAGGGTGAAAGAAACTTTGCCCCATTGTTTCTGCCTCGTGCGGGAATCGAACCCGCGCCACAGAATTACGAGTCCTGCGCGCTATCCACCAGGCTACGAGGCCCCCGGGGTGCTGCTTGAAGTGGTTCCTGTGGGACTGGCTGGGATGGAGTCCCATCGTGGTCGCCTCACCAAGAGGTGAGAATCAAAGTAACTTTATTCATAATACATAAGAATGTATTATGAATGCAGGCGATGAGTCACAATAACGTGGCTGAAGTATGTTGACCAGACCACACACTAGAAGGTGAAGGGACGACGACGTTTCGGTCCGTCCTGGACCATTCTCAAGTCCATTGTCTTCATAAGGCCTATTGGCCCGAGGCAGCTACTATTTATACCCACCCAATCTCATTCATATACAAGTCTAACCTACGCTTGAAACAATCAAGGGACCCCACTTCTATTACGAGGTAATTGGTTCCCCAAATCAACAACCATATTACCGAACCAGTATTTACCCATGTATTACCGCTACAAATGTTAGATTTAACAAGAGCGGATATGAATCTGGTGCTAAATATAGCAACATAAAACAGTGACTACAAATTGCATAAAGTTAGAATCTGAAACAAAATATTGTAAATACTAGTTTGGAAATAGGGTTATAGATTTGTAAGAGAGATTGTATGGAATGATTCACGTTCAGGATTGTGAATCATTTTCAAGTCACAATCGTCTTGAAAATGGTCCAGGACGGACCGAAACGTCGTCGTCCCTTCACCTTCTAGTGTGTGGTCTGGTCAACATTCACGTTCAGATCAGACTTGTACGAGTCGTTCAGATCAGACTTGTACGAGTCGTTCAGATCAGACTTGTACGAGTCGTTCAGATCAGACTTGTACGAGTCGTTCAGATCAGACTTGTACGAGTCGTTCAGATCAGACTTGTACGAGTCGTTCAGATTAGACTTGTACGAGTCGTTCAGATCAGACTTGTACGAGTCGTTCAGATCAGACTTGTACGAGTCGTTCAGATCAGACTTGTACGAGTCGTTCAGATCAGACTTGTACGAGTCGTTCAGATCAGACTTGTACGAGTCGTTCAGATCAGACTTGTACGAGTCGTTCAGATCAGACTTGTACGAGTCGTTCAGATCAGACTTGTACGAGTCGTTCAGATTAGACTTGTACGAGTCGTTCAGATCAGACTTGTACGAGTCGTTCAGATCAGACTTGTACGAGTCGTTCAGATTAGACTTGTACGAGTCGTTCAGATTAGACTTGTACGAGTCGTTCAGATCAGACTTGTACGAGTCGTTCAGATCAGACTTGTACGAGTCGTTCAGATTAGACTTGTACGAGTCTAGTGTAGGTTTAAGTAGCAGGTGCTTCGCATGCACCAATGTGTACTCTGCAATGTCTAAGTTATTATTTTGGTTAATTTACACAAATCATTTATCATTCCAAATGATATTATGAACACGGGTGGTAGCCCTGGCACTCAGTAGCCCTGAGTGCCAGCCCCCAGGGTAACCAGGGGTGGTGCCTGTCTCTGGGAAGGACAGTAGCCCTGAGTGCCAGCCCCCACGGTAACCAGGGGTGGTGCCTGACTCTGGGAAGGACAGTAGCCCTGAGTGCCAGCCCCCACGGTAACCAGGGGTGGTGCCTGACTCTGGGAAGGACAGTAGCCCTGAGTGCCAGCCCCCAGGGTAACCAGGGGTGGTGCCTGTCTCTGGGAAGGACAGTAGCCCTGAGTGCCAGCCCCCACGGTAACCAGGGGTGGTGCCTGACTCTGGGAAGGACAGTAGCCCTGAGTGCCAGCCCCCAGGGTAACCAGGGGTGGTGCCTGACTCTGGGAAGGACAGTAGCCCTGAGTGCCAGCCCCCACGGTAACCAGGGGTGGTGCCTGTCTCTGGGGGAGGACAGTAGCCCTGAGTGCCAGCCCCCACGGTAACCAGGGGTGGTGCCTGTCTCTGGGGAGGACGGTAGCCCTGAGTGCCAGCCCCCAGGGTAACCAGGGGTGGTGCCTGTCTCTGGGAAGGACAGTAGCCCTGAGTGCCAGCCCCCACGGTAACCAGGGGTGGTGCCTGACTCTGGGAAGGACAGTAGCCCTGAGTGCCAGCCCCCAGGGTAACCAGGGTTGGTGCCTGACTCTGGGAAGGACAGTAGCCCTGAGTGCCAGCCCCCACGGTAACCAGGGGTGGTGCCTGTCTCTGGGGGAGGACAGTAGCCCTGAGTGCCAGCCCCCACGGTAACCAGGGGTGGTGCCTGTCTCTGGGGAGGACGGTAGCCCTGAGTGCCAGCCCCCACGGTAACCAGGGGTGGTGCCTGGCTCTGGGAAGGACAGTAGCCCTGAGTGCCAGCCCCCACGGTAACCAGGGGTGGTGCCTGTCTCTGGGGGAGGACGGTAGCCCTGAGTGCCAGCCCCCACGGTAACCAGGGGTGGTGCCTGTCTCTGGGAAGGACAGTAGCCCTGAGTGCCAGCCCCCACGGTAACCAGGGGTGGTGCCTGTCTCTGGGGAGGACGGTAGCCCTGAGTGCCAGCCCCCACGGTAACCAGGGGTGGTGCCTGTCTCTGGGGAGGACGGTAGCCCTGAGTGCCAGCCCCCACGGTAACCAGGGGTGGTGCCTGTCTCTGGGGGAGGACAGTAGCCCTGAGTGCCAGCCCCCACGGTAACCAGGGGTGGTGCCTGTCTCTGGGGAGGACGGTAGCCCTGAGTGCCAGCCCCCACGGTAACCAGGGGTGGTGCCTGTCTCTGGGAAGGACAGTAGCCCTGAGTGCCAGCCCCCACGGTAACCAGGGGTGGTGCCTGTCTCTGGGGGAGGACGGTAGCCCTGAGTGCCAGCCCCCACGGTAACCAGGGGTGGTGCCTGTCTCTGGGAAGGATGGTAGCCCTGAGTGCCAGCCCCCACGGTAGCCAGGGGTGGTGCCTGTCTCTGGGAAGGACAGTAGCCCTGAGTGCCAGCCCCCACGGTAACCAGGGGTGGTGCCTGTCTCTGGGAAGGACAGTAGCCCTGAGTGCCAGCCCCCAGGGTAACCAGGGGTGGTGCCTGTCTCTGGGGGAGGACAGTAGCCCTGAGTGCCAGCCCCCACGGTAACCAGGGGTGGTGCCTGTCTCTGGGGAGGACGGTAGCCCTGAGTGCCAGCCCCCAGGGTAACCAGGGGTGGTGCCTGTCTCTGGGGGAGGACAGTAGCCCTGAGTGCCAGCCCCCACGGTAACCAGGGGTGGTGCCTGTCTCTGGGGGAGGACGGTAGCCCTGAGTGCCAGCCCCCACGGTAACCAGGGGTGGTGCCTGGCTCTGGGAAGGACAGTAGCCCTGAGTGCCAGCCCCCACGGTAACCAGGGGTGGTGCCTGGCTCTGGGAAGGACAGTAGCCCTGAGTGCCAGCCCCCACGGTAACCAGGGGTGGTGCCTGTCTCTGGGAAGGACAGTAGCCCTGAGTGCCAGCCCCCACGGTAACCAGGGGTGGTGCCTGGCTCTGGGAAGGACAGTAGCCCTGAGTGCCAGCCCCCACGGTAACCAGGGGTGGAGCCTGTCTCTGGGGAGAACAACTTTCCGTCGTGTGATGGGGTCACCAGGCCAGGCAGGCGCTGTACCCCGCCAGCTCTCCACAGACAAGAGGGCGTCGCTCCGACTAGATTCTCTCTTGTATTCTTATGCAATTATATTCAATTATGCTTGTAGCAGTTGAGCTCCAGCTCAGTTTTTAATCAACTGTGTTCCAAGCCTATTCGGCTGGACCCTTTGTAATGCATCTCTCCACTTATTAGTCCTTATATTCACTACGACACAATTCTTTATCCAATCAATTTCTCTGAATTTTGTTCTTAAGAATCATGGCTCTCATGGCTCGTCTGTCGACTAGTGACTTGAGGTTAAGTTCTACTGGTTCTTTACTCGTAAATGATGCCCTTATGTTCTTGGACTTGTTTGGTAGGCTACCTAAGGATTGTCTCTCGCTTTAGCTTTGATGTCCAAAGGGTTATCTTGAGGTTATCTTGAGATGATTTCGGGGCTTTAGTGTCCGCGGCCCGGTCCTCGACCAGGCCTCCACCCACAGGAAGCAGCCCGTGACAGCTGACTAACTCCCAGGTACCTATTTTACTGCTAGGTAACAGGGGCATAGGGTGAAAGAAACTTTGCCCATTTGTTTCTGCCTCGTGCGGGAATCGAACCCGCGCCACAGAATTACGAGTCCCGCGCGCTATCCACCAGCCTACGAGGCCCCTTAATGTGTGTGCATGTACTGGTGCGTGTGAAGCCGTCATAAAACATGTGAGAGATTACGCTAAGTTTCTGGCATAGAAGATGACCTAACGCTAAGCGAGGTATAACAACATAAACACAGCATCAGCCAGGATAATGAGAATATGAATTATGAAAAATTCCAAATCCAGGGATGCCACCACAACCCTCATGCTCTTCAAGTCACTTCCCGCCAAACACACACCGAAACTACAACGTTGGTACAACGTTCGAACAAGTTATAACATCTCCTAACCAGTTATAACATCCAATATAGCAAGTTGTAACAACGTTCTAATACGTCATAAACACGTTAAGCCAAGATGTAGCAACTTTATTACAAGTTGTAACAAGCGGAAAATAGAGACAGTTTCGGTTTGTGTTTTCAGGGGTGTGTTCCCCCATACTGCTCAGTACTCCCCTCCCCTTCACAGCAGGAGAGATTGCTGAAATAGAGGAGATACAGACAACATATACGGCACGCATAGTCGAGATAAAGCACCTAAATTATTGGGATCGTCTCAAAGCTCTTAATTAAAATGGACTCTTTGTAAAGCAGACAAGAGAGTTATCACACAATACACACATAGAAGATACTGGAGGACCAGGTCCCAAATTTCCACAGAAAAAATAACATACTGGAGTGAAAGTTATGTTAGAAGGTAGAGCACAGATCCAATGAAGAGTACAAGTGCATATTTACAATCAGAGAACACTATGAACATCTGGGGTCAGATTCACGAAGCAGTTACGCAAGCACTTACGAACCTGTACATCTTTTCTCAATCTTTGGCGGCTTTGTTTACAATTATTAAACAGTTAATGAGCTCGGAAGCACCAGTAGGCTGTTTATAACAATAACAACAGTTGATTGGCAAGTTTTCATGCTTGTAAACTGTTTAATAAATGTAACCAAAGCCGTCAAAGATTGAGGAAAGATGTACATGTTCGTAAGTGCTTGCGTAACTGCTTCGTGAATCTGGCCCTAGGTTCGTAAGTGCTTGCGTAACTGCTTCGTGAATCTGGCCCTAGGTTCGTAAGTGCTTGCGTAACTGCTTCGTGAATCTGGCCCTAGGTTCGTAAGTGCTTGCGTAACTGCTTCGTGAATCTGGCCCTAGGTTCGTAAGTGCTTGCGTAACTGCTTCGTGAATCTGGCCCTAGGTTCGTAAGTGCTTGCGTAACTGCTTCGTGAATCTGGCCCTAGGTTCGTAAGTGCTTGCGTAACTGCTTCGTGAATCTGGCCCTAGGTTCGTAAGTGCTTGCGTAACTGCTTCGTGAATACCCTCCCAGTAAAGATTAGAAATATTGCAGATATAAAAGTAAACCTGTTCAAGATAAAATCAGACATGTTCCTGCTAGGAGTGCCTGACCAACCAGGCTGTGGTGGGAATGTGGGCCTGTGGGCCACTCCAAGCAACAGCCTGTTGGACCAAGCTCCCATACGTCGAGCCTGACCGTAGGCCGGGCTTGGGGAGTAGGTCTCTTACAACCTACTCCAGGTTCCCGCCGAGTTTCTTGTAAGAAAGTCCAAGAGAGGAATGCAGCCTTGCCGATGGCACTGTTTATTATGAGGTGGAGAAGGTAACGCTAAGATCAGGCGACATTCCGTGGCTGCTGTGAAGAGCAGCGTCACGTTGGCGGGTTCCAGAGACACCTCCCTCACCAGGCTGTCCCCACCAGGCTGTCTCCACCAGGCTGTCCCCACCAGGCTGTCCCCACCAGGCTGTCCCCACCAGGCTGTCCCCACCAGGCTGTCTCCACCAGGCTGTCCCCACCAGGCTGTCTCCACCAGGCTGTCTCCACCAGGCTGTCCTCACCAGGCTGTCCCCACCAGGCTGTCCTCACCAGGCTGTCCCCACTAGGCTGTCCTCACCAGGCTGTCCCCACCAGGCTGTCCCCACCAGGCTGTCCTCACCAGGCTGTCTCCACCAGGCTGTCCCCACTAGGCTGTCCTCACCAGGCTGTCCCCACCAGGCTGTCCTCACCAGGCTGTCCCCACTAGGCTGTCCTCACCAGGCTGTCCCCACCAGGCTGTCCCCACCAGGCTGTCCCCACCAGGCTGTCCCCACTAGGCTGTCCTCACCAGGCTGTCCCCACCAGGCTGTCCTCACCAGGCTGTCCCCACTAGGCTGTCCTCACCAGGCTGTCCCCACCAGGCTGTCCCCACCAGGCTGTCCTCACCAGGCTGTCTCCACCAGGCTGTCTCCACCAGGCTGTCCCCACCAGGCTGTCCCCACCAGGCTGTCCTCACCAGGCTGTCCCCACGAGGCTGTCCCCACCAGGCTGTCTCCACCAGGCTGTCTCCACCAGGCTGTCCCCACCAGGCTGTCTCCACCAGGCTGTCCTCACCAGGCTGTCCCCACCAGGCTGTCCTCACCAGGCTCTCCCCACCTGGCTGTCCCCACCAGGCTGTCTCCACCAGGCTGTCCCCACCAGGCTGTCTCCACCAGGCTGTCCCCACCAGGCTGTCTCCACCAGGCTGTCCTCACCAGGCTGTCCCCACCAGGCTGTCCCCACCAGGCTGTCTCCACCAGGCTGTCCTCACCAGGCTGTCCCCACCAGGCTGTCCTCACCAGGCTCTCCCCACCAGGCTGTCTCCACCAGGCTGTCCTCACCAGGCTGTCTCCACCAGGCTGTCTCCACCAGGCTGTCCCCACCAGGCTGTCCCCACCAGGCTGTCTCCACCAGGCTGTCCCCACCAGGCTGTCTCCACCAGGCTGTCCCCACCAGGCTGTCTCCACCAGGCTGTCCCCACCAGGCTGTCCCCACCAGGCTGTCCCCACCAGGCTGTCCCCACCAGGCTGTCCCCACCAGGCTGTCTCCACCAGGCTGTCCCCACCAGGCTGTCCTCACCAGGCTGTCCCCACCAGGCTGTCTCCACCAGGCTGTCTCCACCAGGCTGTCTCCACCAGGCTGTCTCCACCAGGCTGTCCTCACCAGGCTGTCCAAACCAGGCTGTCCCCACCAGGCTGTCCCCACCAGGCTGTCCTCACCAGGCTGTCTCCACCAGGCTGTCTCCACCAGGCTGTCCCCACCAGGCTGTCTCCACCAGGCTGTCTCCACCAGGCTGTCTCCACCAGGCTGTCTCCACCAGGCTGTCCCCACCAGGCTGTCCCCACCAGGCTGTCCCCACCAGGCTGTCCCCACCAGGCTGTCCTCGTGGGCCATAACCAGCCTGGGGAAGGCAGGGGAGGGCAGGTCAGGGGAGATGGGGGGGGGAGGAGGAGACGCAAATCTACTCTTAAAGCTGATCAGGAGAGAGACTCACGCCGCTCCTGTTGTTACCAGGCTGTGTAACCCTTTGGTACACCCCGGCCGCTGCCTCTACCACACCCCCCTACACCCCGGCCGCTACCACACCTCCCTACACCCCGGCCGCTGCCTCTACCACACCCCCCTACACCCCGGCCGCTACCACACCTCCCTACACCCCGGCCGCTGCCTCTACCACACCCCCCTACACCCCGGCCGCTACCACACCTCCCTACACCCCGGCCGCTGCCTCTACCACACCCCCTACACCCCGGCCGCTACCACACCTCCCTACACCCCGGCCGCTGCCTCTACCACACCCCCCTACACCCCGGCCGCTACCACACCTCCCTACACCCCGGCCGCGGCCTCTACCACACCCCCCTACACCCCGGCCGCTACCACACCTACCTACACCCCGGCCGCTGCCTCTACCACACCCCCCTACACCCCGGCCGCTACCACACCTCCCTACACCCCGGCCGCTGCCTCTACCACACCCCCCTACACCCCGGCCGCTACCACACCTCCCTACACCCCGGCCGCTGCCTCTACCACACCCCCTACACCCCGGCCGCTACCACACCTCCCTACACCCCGGCCGCTGCCTCTACCACACCCCCCTACACCCCGGCCGCTGCCTCTACCACACCTCCCTACACCCCAGCCGCTGCCTCTACCACACCCCCCTACACCCCGGCCGCTGCCTTTACCACACCTCCCTACACCCCGGCCGCTGCCTCTACCACACCTCCCTACACCCCGGCCGCTGCCTCTACCACACCACCCTACACCCCGGCCGCTGCCTCTACCACACCTCCCTACACCCCGGCCGCTGCCTCTACCACACCCCCCTACACCCCGGCCGCTGCCTTTACCACACCTCCCTACACCCCGGCCGCTGCCTCTACCACACCTCCCTACACCCCGGCCGCTGCCTCTACCACACCTCCCTACACCCCGGCCGCTGCCTCTACCACACCACCCTACACCCAGGCCGCCCTGCCACACCTCCCAGCTGCTCCACACCCTGGCCGCTCTGCCACACCTCCCAGCTGCCCCACACCCTGGCCGCTCTGCCACACCTCCCAGCTGCCCCACACCCTGGCCGCTCTGCCACACCTCCCAGCTGCTCCACACCCTGGCCGCTCTGCCACACCTCCCAGCTGCTCCACACCCAGGCCGCTCTGCCACACCTCCCAGCTGCGCCACACCCAGGCCGCTCTGCCACACCTCCCAGCTGCGCCACACCCAGGCCGCTCTGCCACACCTCCCAGCTGCGCCACACCCAGGCCGCTCTGCCACACCTCCCAGCTGCGCCACACCCAGGCCGCTCTGCCACACCTCCCAGCTGCGCCACACCCAGGCCGCTCTGCCACACCTCCCAGCTGCTCCACACCCAGGCCGCTCTGCCACACCTCCCAGCTGCTCCACACCCTGGCCGCTCTGCCACACCTCCCAGCTGCTCCACACCCAGGCCGCCCTGCCACACCTCCCAGCTGCGCCACACCCTGGCCGCTCTGCCACACCTCCCAGCTGCTCCACACCCAGGCCGCTCTGCCACACCTCCCAGCTGCTCCACACCCAGGCCGCTCTGCCACACCTCCCAGCTGCTCCACACCCTGGCCGCTCTGCCACACCTCCGAGCTGCTCCACACCCAGGCCGCCCTGCCACACCTCCCAGCTGCGCCACACCCTGGCCGCTCTGCCACACCTCCCAGCTGCTCCACACCCAGGCCGCTCTGCCACACCTCCCAGCTGCTCCACACCCAGGCCGCCCTGCCACACCTCCCAGCTGCGCCACACCCTGGCCGCTCTGCCACACCTCCCAGCTGCGCCACACCCTGGCCGCTCTGCCACACCTCTCAGCTGCTCCACACCCAGGCCGCTCTGCCACACCTCTCAGCTGCTCCACACCCAGGCCGCTCGGCCACACCTCGCCCGTGCTACACCAGCACAGTTCAGAGGTTTATTTTCATAACATTTCCCACGTCCCCTGAGCATCGTAAACACGGTAGAAGCAACATCCGGGCGGCAGTGACCCGCCCCGAACACGGCTCCCTACCAGCAGGCCACCCCGAGGACGGCCACCCCCGAGGACGGCCACCCCCGAGGGCGGCCACCCCCGAGGACGGCCACCCCCGAGGACGGCCACCCCCGAGGACGGCCACCCCCGAGGACGGCCACCCCCGAGGGCGGCCACCCCCGAGGACGGCCACCCCCGAGGGCGGCCACCCCCGAGGGCGGCCACCCCCGAGGACGGCCACTCCCGAGGACGGCCACCCCCGAGGACGGCCACCCCCGAGGACGGGCACTCCAGGAAGGTGGGGCCACACACACTCCAGGAAGGTGGGGCCACACACACACACACACACACTCCAGGAAGGTGGGGCCACACACACACACACACACACTCCAGGAAGGTGGGGCCACACACACACACACACACCAGGAAGGACACACTCCACAGGGTGGTGTAGGACAAATACCAATGGCCACTAATTATCAAAGCATAGCCAGACGACCCGTCTCACAACCACCATTACACCTTTCCTTGTGCGAAGACTGGCTGCACTGGTCCGGGGGGGGGGGCGCAGGGTGTGGTTGGGGGGGAGGGGGATGGCTGGCAGGGGAGGGGCGTGGGGAGGGGCGTGGGGAGTGGGGGGAGGTGACGGGTATTGAAGGGACGACGGGGGAAAAAAAGCGGTAAAACCAAACTCGAGAAAATGCGGATGCAATTTTCAGGCGGCGGTCCTTGTAGGGTTGTAGTGTGGCCCGAGTGCGGCCCACGTCCCTGGCCGACACGGGGGAGCCTTACCTTTTCCCTGGCCCACGTCCCTGGAAAGGGACGCCCTCGTCCACGCCAGGGACAGCCCACGGCCCACACCCTCGCTCTTACTTGTTTACTGGAAGCCACTTTCTCTGCTAAAAATATATTCAGAATCATCCTATACATGGCCATATGTATGCATATACATGGCCAGCGAGCGTGTGGGTGTTGAGAGCTTACAACAGCAGATAATATACACAGACGTGATCCGTGTCTGGTATTTACCGCCATAATAAGGCTTGAGACGTGTCACGGGCTGGACCGTGTATGATGCCGGCTCACCATACACTTGAAGACCATTGTTTGTGAGCTGAAGACCGCGGAGCAGATGAGCCAGGGCCTGACGCCGCCTCGCTGGCACGAGCAAGAGCACTCTACACACAAGAGACTCGTCAAGAGTGGCTGTCAGGCAATTTCCAGGAGCTGCTGGAGCCTTGACGAGTGTGGGAGAGCTGGTTAGAGCGGTGTCGTCATGTTGGGCGCACCTCCCCGAGCAGCGACGCTGACAAAGTGGTTGACGATAAAGATCTGCCGTGGCAGTGAGGACGCCGCTCCGGATGTGCCAACTAACGTCGACGTTGTCTTGCAGATCGCCTGGTGTCGAAACGTTGACTCGAGATAGTGGAAGTGAGTAAGGGAATGCGCAATGACTTTCCTTGGCGCCATACTCCAGTGAAGGTGAATTGTCACGTCTTCCTTAACTGTTGTGGGTGGAGATTATCTACAAGAAACATGAGGACGAGCGGCTTATGATCCATCACTGGCTCAAAATATGGCACCCCAGCAAGGCCAAACACCACATACATCCACCACTCTCCTCCCAACACTGTGTTCACTCACAGGATGAGTGACGCACACAACACTCCCCTAGGGTCGCCAGAGAACTCATTCTCACTCCCTTCAGTTTGGTGGCGAAGCTGAGACTCCCCGCCTCAGCGGAGAGGGGCCTTAATATTTCTATTGTAAAGAAATGCTGCACGACAGATCACCTGTGGTGAAATGTCAGACTTGAGAAGAACTTACGCACCAAACTGAGCCACCTTTGGGATCGAACTAGGCCTGTAACACATTATGCGAGTGTGGAGTACTACTACTAACAGAATTCGCATGGACTCTATCTCTGCTGACGACTTAAAACTGATCCGATATTAGCCGACCAAAATCGCCTATTCCAAATGTATCATTCTGCCAGGAGGCCTGGTCGACGACCGGGCCGCGGGGACACTAAGCCCCGGAAGCACCTCAAGGTAGCCTGTGCTGAGAATACCTTCCGAGTCGAGTTTGAGGAGTTACGCTTTTCCTTACACATTTCTTACAATTGGAGGGTGATTACTGCACACTTCCTTACAGATGATGGGTCACACACACAAGACCACATAGAAATTACCGGAAAAAATCCCAGAAGAACAGTATAAGCCATTGTTTACCCCCCCCCCCCCCAATGAAGAACATGAAAGTTGAAGCTCCGGACAATATCCAATGCTTTATGAATGATATCCAATGCTTTATGAATGATATCCAATGCTTTATGAATGATATCCAATGCTTTATGAATGATATCCAATGCTTTATGAATGATATCCAATGCTTTATGAATGATATCCAATGCTTTATGAATGATATCCAATGCTTTATGAATGATATCCAATGCTTTATGAATGATATCTAAAGCTTTATGAATGATATCCAAAGCTCTGATAATACAACTGATAATAGTACGAGGACAGCAGATCTTTAAAATGAAAGTGCCAACATGGCCATGCACTCGGCTCCTGGTCCCCGACTCCTGGAACGTCAGGTTTACAAAGAAACACAGTACCAGTAGCACGAGCGTTATATGACAAAGAGTGCTGGGAAGACGGGACACCACGAGCGTAGCTCTCATCCTGTAACTACACTTAGGTAATTACGAGCGCTTAGTGTAGTATGGAGTAAGAGTTTGGAAGGGAGCCGGTCGGCCGAGCGGACAGCACGCTGGACTTGTGATCCTGTGGTCCTGGGTTCGATCCCAGGCGCCGGCGAGAAACATTGGACATAGTTTCTTTCACCCTGAATGCCCCTGTTACCTAGCAGTAAAATAGGTACCTGGGTGTTAGTCAGCTGTCACAGGCTGCTTCCTGGGGGTGGAGGCCTGGTCGAGGACCGGGCCGCGGGGACACTAAAAGCCCCGAAATCATCTCAAGATAACCTCAAGAGAGTGAAATACCAGAAGCACTTAAATCGCCAGATATTTCCACTCCACAAGGGAGGATTTTTGTTCTTAAAGCACTACAATCACCTTCTGTGGTTGATTATTCCTTAAAGGGAGATTATGGCGCAGCGCTGGGGATTATCTACCTCAGAGAAAGCCTCAGGTATGGTGTCTTGTGGTCTCAATAAACTTACTTGAACCTCTGCATTCATCTTATCTTGAGGTTATCTTGAGATGATTTCGGGGCTTTAGTGTCCCCGAGGCCCGGTCCTCGACCAGGCCTCCACCCCCAGGAAGCAGCCCGTGACAGCTGACTAACTCCCAGGTACCTATTTACTGCTAGGTAACAGGGGCATTTAGGGTGAAAGAAACTTTGCCCATTTGTTTCTGCTTCGTGCGGGAATCGAACCCGCGCCACAGAATTACGAGTCCCGCGCGCTATCCACCAGGCTACGAGGCCCTAAGACAGAATAATTCATGAAGACAGAATAATTTGCACAAAGGAGGAAGTAATTATCAAAAGAAGGCACCAAGCCGGGACGGCTATATGTAGTGACTATGTAGGAAGCAAAGCGTTCGCTAAAACTTATAAAGCGGTTGACGCTAACATATGTAACTAAAGCTTTTGAGAGTGCAGCCGTAGCAGCTGTAACTCCCAGGTACCTATTTACTGCTAGCTGAACAGGGCCATCAGGGTGAAAGAAACTCTACCCATTTGTTTCCGCCTCCGCCGGGGATACAACCCGGAACCTCTTGCAGTCTCCGTGGTGTAGTGGTAAGACACTCGCCTGGCGTTCCGCGAGCGCTATGTCATGGGTTCGTATCCTGGCCGGGGAGGATTTACTGGGCGCAATTCCTTAACTGTAGCCTCTGTTTAACGCAACAGTAAAATGTGTACTTGGATGAAAAACGATTCTTCGCGGCAGGGGATCGTATTCCAGGGACCATAGGATTAAGGACTTGCCCGAAACGCTACGCGTACTAGTGGCTCTACAAGAATGTAACAACTCTTGTATATATCTCAAAAAAAAAAAAAAAAAAAAAAAAATATATATAAGCCTTAAACCTGGAAACACAAACCCAAACTGTCTCTATTTTCCGCTTGTTACAACTTGTAGTAAAGTTGTTACATCTTGGCTTAACGTGTTTATGACGTATTAGAACGTTGTTACAACGTGCTATATTGGTTGTTATAACTGGTCAGGTGTTAAAACTTGTTCGAATGTTGTACCAACGTCGTAGTTTCGCTGTGAGTTTGGCTGGCATCTGACGTTTAATGAACATGACAAATCAAACATGAGCCTGAAAAGTGATGGAGTGGATTATGAGACCCTTCAAACCCTGGGTTTCGCCCCCACAATGTTCCTACTCTTCTTGCTCTTTCTACCTTGAATCCTGCGCGGTATTCCACTTCCCTCCACACATTCCAAGGAGGCCTGGTCGACGACCGGGCCGCGGGGACGCTGAGCCCCGGAAGCACCTCAAGGTAACCTCCCTTTCCAGGCATAATGACCTGTATATGTGGGCCGCTCCAAGCAACACCTAAGTAGACTTATCACAAGAGAAGACGAGCCTGGCCCAAGGACTTGAGGAGTAGGAGAACTCCCATAGCCCACTTCAGGTATACTCCAGGTATACTCCACGTCTACTCCAGGTATAATCCAGGTATACTCCAGGTATACACTGATAACAACGTACAGGTAGAATGAAATGCGCTGTAGGTCCCGGTACAGGTTATCTTAAGATGATTTCGGGGCTTTAGTGTACCCGCGGCCCGGTCCTCGACCAGGCCTCCACCCCCCAGAAGCAGCCCGTGACAGCTGACTAACACCCAGGTACCTATTTTACTGCTAGGTAACAGTGGCATAAGGTGAAAGAAACTCTGCCCATTGTTTCTCGCCGGCGCCCGGGATCGAACCCGGGACCAAAGGATCACAAGTCCAGCGTGCTGTCCGCTCGGCCGACCGGCTCCCACCGGTACATGTGAATAGTTTACGGTGTAACACCTCCAATTGTAACACCGCCATAATGTACCACTATAATGGAACATAAAAAATGGTTACTAATGTAAACACTACTTATCCTGAGTAACACTTCCTCATTGGTTGCACTTGATAACACTGTTATGAGCTGACATATGATGGTTACACCGGAACCAAAGGTACACTGCCAATAAGGAAATGCTAACACAAGGATTAAATACGCTGCCACCATCAGCCTTTGACCATTGAGACTATATCAAGCAACGAGGCAAGAAACATTGCTTGACTTGGAGAGTACTTTCTATGACTGTCATTAATTATGGGACGGTTGTCAGCCACTATATCCAAAAGGCTAAGAGGATTCAACAATTGACACAGACGGGAAATTTAACATGAGTTTTATTGAGAACAAAATTATGTCAATCACCACTTATAAATCCTACTCTAACACTGGCAAAAATTTAAGAAATTTGGACATGGAACAAAAACTCAGAGATCACACACATTACCTTAAGACCTCTGTCTCTCCCTGGCTGAGATGTTCTTCACAGACCCGCTCTTGATCCCGGTGTACCGCACTCTGCCTTCCCTAAGTCCCTAGAGGACCTCTATATACAACCCCCACAGGGGGGAGGGGGAGATCTGCTGTTGCTACCCACCAAGAGTGTACAAACACTCAAGAAATATTTCAATAAGCTTGTTTGACATTCACCCTACACTCTTCAAGAGAGGAGTTATTAATTACGTGTGTGACTGACCTCTGACCTGGCCAAAAGGGGGGGATCCAGGGATGTTTACACATAAGAATCTGGAGTCTAATTTCCTTGCATGAAATATTACATACTTGAAACTATGCTAACTAAGACTAACCCAGGAATTTTTAATCAATATACAAGATAAACCGGAGGTCATCTGGGCTGACCTCTTGGAGAAGGCTTCCCTGGGTGTGAACTCTAAGGGGGGGGGGGTCCTGGGTGTTACAACGGTAGTATGTTATGGTGGTGAGTGAGCGTATGGTGCAGCCCGGGACGTGTATGGTGCAGGTTCGAGGCTGGAGTGGTGGTGGGCGGCTCGCTGCCCCTCACTGGACTCTCCACTACCTGGCCTAATCCTCGGCTTTGTTGGTGTCGCTCCTCGAAACATCTTAAACCACTTAATTACAAGTCCAGTCAGGTGGAGCAGCGTCAACCAGACGGAGCGGGGGCAGCGTCAACCAGGCAGGGCAGCGTCAACCAGGCGGAGCAGCGCCAACCAGGCGGAGCGGGGGCAGCGTCAACCAGCCGGAGCAGCGCCAACCAGGCGGAGCGGGGGCAGCGTCAACCAGGCGGAGCGGGGCAGCGTCAACCAAGCGGAGCAGCGTCAACCAGGCGGAGCGGGGGCAGCGTCAACCAGGCGGGGCAGCGTCAACCAGGCGGAGCAGCGCCAACCAGGCGGAGCGGGGGCAGCATCAACCAGGCGGGGGCAGCATCAACCAGGCGGGGCAGCGTCAACCAGGCGGAGCAGCGCCAACCAGGCGGAGCGGGGGCAGCGTCAACCAGCCGGAGCAGCGCCAACCAGGCAGAGCGGGGGCAGCGTCAACCAGGCGGAGCGGGGCAGCGTCAACCAGGCGGGGCAGCGTCAACCAGGCGGAGCGGGGGCAGCGTCAACCAGGCGGGGCAGCGTCAACCAGGCGGAGCAGCGCCAACCAGGCGGAGCCGGGGCAGCGTCAACCAGCCGGAGCAGCGCCAACCAGGCGGAGCGGGGGCAGCGTCAACCAGGCGGAGCGGGGCAGCGTCAACCAGGCGGAGCAGGGGCAGCGTCAACCAGGCGGAGCGGGGCAGCGTCAACCAGGCAGAGCGGGGCAGCGTCAACCAGGCGGAGCGGGGGCAGCGTCAACCAGGCGGAGCGGGGGCAGCGTAAACCAGGCGGAGCAGCGTCAACCAGGCGGAGCGGGGGCAGCGTCAACCAGGCGGAGCGGGGGCAGCATAAACCAGGCGGAGCAGCGTCAACCAAGCGGAGCGGGGGCAGCATCAACCAGGCAGAGCGGGGCAGGGTCAACCAGGCGGAGCGGGGGCAGCGTCAACCAGGCGGAGCGGGGGCAGCGTCAACCAGGCGGAGCGGGGCAGCGTCAACCAGGCGGAGCGGGGCAGCGTCAACCAGGCGGAGCGGGGGCAGCGTCAACCAGGCAGAGTGGGGCAGCGTCAACCAGGCAGAGCGGGGGCAGCGTCAACCAGGCGGAGCGGGGCAGCGTCAACCAGGCGGAGCGGGGCAGCGTCAACCAGGCGGAGCGGGGCAGCGTCAACCAGGCGGAGCGGGGGCAGCGTCAACCAGGCGGAGCGGGGGCAGCGTCAACCAGGCGGAGCGGGGCAGCGTCAACCAGGCGGAGCGGGGGCAGCGTCAACCAGGCGGAGCGGGGGCAGCGTCAACCAGGCGGAGCGGGGGCAGCGTCAACCAGACGGAGCGGGGCAGCGTCAACCAGGCGGAGCGGGGGCAGCGTCAACCAGCCGGAGCAGCGCCAACCAGGCGGAGCAGGGGCAGCGTCAACCAGGCGGAGCGGGGCAGCGTCAACCAGGCGGAGCAGGGGCAGCGTCAACCAGGCGGAGCGGGGCAGCATCAACCAGGCAGAGCGGGGCAGCGTCAACCAGGCGGAGCGGGGGCAGCGTCAACCAGGCGGAGCGGGGGCAGCGTAAACCAGGCGGAGCAGCGTCAACCAGGCGGAGCGGGGGCAGCGTCAACCAGGCGGAGCGGGGGCAGCATAAACCAGGCGGAGCAGCGTCAACCAAGCGGAGCGGGGGCAGCATCAACCAGGCGGAGCGGGGCAGCGTCAACCAGGCGGAGCGGGGGCAGCGTCAACCAGGCGGAGCGGGGGCAGCGTCAACCAGGCGGAGCGGGGCAGCATCAACCAGGCGGAGCGGGGCAGCGTCAACCAGGCGGAGCGGGGGCAGCGTCAACCAGGCAGAGCGGGGCAGCGTCAACCAGGCAGAGCGGGGGCAGCGTCAACCAGGCGGAGCGGGGCAGCGTCAACCAGGCGGAGCGGGGCAGCGTCAACCAGGCGGAGCGGGGCAGCGTCAACCAGGCGGGGGGCGGAGCGGGGCAGCGTCAACCAGGCGGAGCGGGGCAGCGTCAACCAGGCGGAGCGGGGGCAGCGTCAACCAGGCGGAGCAGCGTCAACCAGGCGGAGCGGGGGCAGCGTCAACCAGGCGGAGCGGGGGCAACGTCAACCAGGCGGAGCAGCGTCAACCAGGCAAAGCGGGGGCAGCGTCAACCAGGCGGAGCGGGGGCAGCGTCAACCAGGCGGAGCGGGGGCAACGTCAACCAGGCGGAGCGGGGGCAGCGTCAACCAGGCGGAGCAACGTCAACCAGGCAGAGCAGGGGCAGCGTCAACCAGGCGGAGCGGGGGCAGCGTCAACCAGGCGGAGCGGGGGCAGCGTCAACCAGCCGGAGCAGCGTCAACCAGGCGGAGCGGGGCAGCATCAACCAGGCGGAGCGGGGGCAGCGTCAACCAGTCGGAGCAGCGTCAACCAGGCGGAGCAGGGGCAGCGTCAACCAGGCGGAGCAGCGTCAACCAGGCGGAGCGGGGGCAGCGTCAACCAGGCGGAGCGGGGCAGCGTCAACCAGGCGGAGCGGGGGCAGCGTCAACCAGCCGGAGCAGCGTCAACCGGGCGGAGCGGGGCAGCATCAACCAGGCGGAGCGGGGGCAGCGTCAACCAGGCGGAGCGGGGGGCAGCGTCAACCAGGCGGAGCGGGGCAGCGTCAACCAGGCGGAGCGGGGCAGCATCAACCAGCCGGAGCAGCGTCAACCAGGCGGAGCGGGGCAGCATCAACCAGGCGGAGCGGGGGCAGCGTCAACCAGGCGGAGCGGGGCAGCGTCAACCAGGCGGAGCGGGGCAGCGTCAACCAGGCGGAGCGGGGCAGCGTCAACCAGCCGGAGCAGCGTCAACCGGGCGGAGCGGGGCAGCATCAACCAGGCGGAGCGGGGGCAGCGTCAACCAGGCGGAGCGGGGGCAGCGTCAACCAGGCGGAGCGGGGGCAGCGTCAACCAGGCGGAGCGGGGGCAGCGTCAACCAGGCGGAGCGGGGGCAGCGTCAACCAGGCGGAGCGGGGGCAGCGTCAACCAGGCGGAGCGGGGGCAGCGGGCAGCGTCAACCAGGCGGAGCGGGGGCAGCGTCAACCAGGCGGGCAGCGTCAACCAGGCGGAGCGGGGCAGCGTCAACCAGGCGGAGCGGGGGCAGCGTCAACCAGGCGGAGCGGGGGCAGCGTCAACCAGGCGGAGCGGGTGCAGCGTCAACCAGGCGGAGCGGGTGCAGCGTCAACCAGGCGGAGCGGGGGCAGCGTCAACCAGGCGGAGCGGGGGCAGCGTCAACCAGGCGGAGCGGGGCAGCGTCAACCAGGCGGAGCGGGTGCAGCGTCAACCAGGCGGAGCGGGGGTAGCGTCAACCAGGCGGAGCGAGGGCAGCGTCAACCAGGCGGAGCGGGGGCAGCGTCAACCAGGCGGAGCGGGGCAGCGTCAACCAGGCGGAGCGGGGCAGCGTCAACCAGGCAGAGCAGCGTCAACCAAGTAAGGCTAAAAACTGTCAAGCCGGTAAAGTACATAACTTCAAGAGCCCAACTAAGATATTACAACGGTCTTGTAAGAAGTAAAATATAGTGATGACCCGTCATATAATTACAGTGACGGGTTGCGGGTTAGTAATGACCTCACCCAAGAGGGTAAGCGCACTTGCCGCTAAATCACCGCTCCTGGGAGCCAACTAATGTGTTTGAATTGCTCGTATTAATGGTGGTTTGTGAGCACAACTTGAATTTAATAATTTGATATGACAGTTATGACAAAGTTAGCGGATGATGATAGTTGAAGGATAGCGTGGGGTGAGACAGGGTCATTACACACCTGAAGCTCTCCCCCACACCTGAAGCTCTCTCCCACACACCTGAACCTCTCTCTCCCACACACCTGAACCCCTCACACACACACACCTGAACCTCTCACACACACACCTGAACCTCTCTCACACACACACACCTGAACCTCTCACACACACACACACACCTGAACCTCTCACACACACACACACACCTGAACCTCTCACACACACACACCTGAACCTCTCACACACACACACACACACACACACACACACACACCTGAACCTCTCACACACACACACACACACACACACACACACCTGAACCTCTCACACACACACACACCTGAACCCCTCTCACACACACACCTGAACCTCTCACACACACACACCTGAACCTCTCACACACACACACCTGAACCTCTCACACACACACACACCTGAACCTCTCACACACACACACACCTGAACCTCTCACACACACACACACCTGAACCTCTCACACACACACACCTGAACCTCTCACACACACACACCTGAACCTCTCACACACACACACCTGAACCTCTCACACACACACACCTGAACCTCACACACACACACCTGAACCTCTCACACACACACACACCTGAACCTCTCACACACACACACACCTGAACCTCACACACACACACCTGAACCTCTCACACACACACACCTGAACCTCTCACACACACACACCTGAACCTCTCACACACACACACCTGAACCTCTCACACACACACACCTGAACCTCTCACACACACACCTGAACCTCTCACACACACACACCTGAACCTCTCACACACACACACCTGAACCTCTCACACACACACACCTGAACCTCACACACACACCTGAACCTCTCACACACACACACCTGAACCTCTCACACACACACACACACCTGAACCTCTCACACACACACACACACACACACACCTGAACCTCTCTCACACACACACACACACACCTGAACCTCTCACACACACACACACCGGAACCTCTCACACACACACACACCTGAACCTCACACACACACACACACACACACCTGAACCTCTCACACACACACACACACACACACACCTTAACCTCACACACACACACACACACACACCTGAACCTCTCACACACACACACACACACACACACACCTGAACCTCTCACGCACACACACACCTGAACCTCTCACGCACACACACACCTGAACCTCACACACACACACACCTGAACCTCTCACACACACACACACCTGAACCTCTCACACACACACACCTGAACCTCTCACACACACACACCTGAACCTCTCACACACACACACCTGAACCTCTCACACACACACACACCTGAACCTCTCTCACACACACACACACACCTGAACCTCTCACACACACACACACACCTGAACCTCTCTCACACACACACACCTGAACCTCTCTCACACACACACCACCTCTCTCACACACACACAACCTCTCTCACACACACACCTGAACCTCTCTCACACACACACACCTGAACCTCTCTCACACACACACACCTGAACCTCTCTCACACACACACACCTGAACCTCTCCCACACACACCTGAACCTCTCCCACACACACCCGAACCTCTCCCACACACACCCGAACCTCTCACACACACACACCTGAACCTCACACACACACACACACACCTGAACCTCTCTCACACACACACACCTGAACCTCTCTCACACACACACACCTGAACCTCTCTCTCACACACACACCTGAACCTCTCCCCACACACACACCTGAACCTCTCCCACACACACCCGAACCTCTCCCACACACACCCGAACCTCTCCCACACACACCCGAACCTCTCCCACACACCCGAACTTCTCCCCCCACACACCTGAACTTCTCCCCTACACACCTGAACTTCTCCCCCACACACCTGAACTTCTCCCACACACACCCGAACTTCTCCCCCCACACACCTGAACTTCTCCCCCCCACAAACCTGAACTTCTCCCCTACACACCTGAACTTCTCCCCCACACACCTGAACCTCTCCCACACACCTGAACCTCTCCCACACACCTGAACCTCTCCCACACACCTGAACCTCTCCCACACACCTGAACCTCTCCCACACACCTGAACCTCTCCCACACACCTGAACCTCTCCCACACACCTGAACCTCTCCCACACACCTGAACCTCTCCCACACACCTGAAGCTCGTGTAGGGTCATCCTCCAGCCAAAGATCTAAAAGTGATTCCATTCACCCGCCAACCCCCCTCCCCTCTCTTGAGGTTATCTTGAGATGATTTCGGGGCTTAGCGTCCCGGCGGCCCGGTCCTCGACCAGGCCTCCTTTTTGTTACCTCCAGGAAGCAGCCCATAGCAGTTGTCTAACTCCCAGGTACCTATTTACTGCTAGGTAACAGGGGCATTCAGGGTGAAAGAAACTTTGCCCATTTGTTTCTGCCTCGTGCGGGAATCGAACCCGCGCCACAGAATTACGAGTCCTGCGCGCTATCCACCAGGCTACGAGGCCCCATATATATGCACAATACGCTAATATAATATTAATTTATGTTTGAGAAAATTCCAGTATTGAACGAACATCATGTAAAATTGATGAATGCGTCTGTGGGGTCGACCGCTGGATGGAATGGCCACGAGTCGAGGGCGGGTTGCCTCTTCATATAATTCCCTGAACTTATAAAGGAAGCCGTCCTCAGGTTGTGCTCATCCATACAGTGATTCGCCCCAATACAACAGCCAAACCACTTTATTTATAAGTGATAAACACCTTACACACGATCCACTTAATGTACTTAAGTACTTTTCTCGAATGATGCTTCGTTCACCTCTGCTCGAGTTGCACGTCTAAGTGCTTCCCTGGAAACACAAACCGAAACTGTCTCTATTTTCCACTTGTTACAACTTGTAATAAAGTTGTTACATCTTGGCTTAACGTGTTTATGACGTATTAGAACGTTGTTACAACTTGCTATATTGGTTGTTACAACTGGTTAGGAAGTGTCAAAACTTGTTCGAACGTTGTACCAACGTCGGAGTTTCGGTGTGTGTTTGGCGGCTTCACCCTCGTAGTACAAATACAGATAAATCGCCAACAGAATCTAACCATTTAACCTATGGCTAACTATACATAATTTTAATGTATAATATTAATTTATATATGATAACATACCTATTATCATTACATAATCCATTAAAATAGGTAAGTGCACCTTGTGGGGGCAGCCACCGCTTTAACGAGCCTGACCTGCGGATACGTGTACTAGAGAGTCCTGTGTAGTGTGTTATATTCTTAAACTATTCTTGCGTCCAGTTCTTGAGGCACAGATGTTCTCCTGACAAGGTCAACATTCTCACAACTCTTCAGACACAGATCACAGTGTTCTCCTGACAAGGTCAACATTCTCACAACTCTTCAGACACAGATCACAGTGTTCTCCTGACAAGGTCAACATTCTCTCAACTCTTCAGACACAGATCACAGTGTTCTCCTGACAAGGTCAACATTCTCACAACTCTTCAGACACAGATCACAGTGTTCTCCTGACATGGTCAACATTCTCACAACTCTTCAGACACAGATCACAGTGTTCTCCTGACATGGTCAACATTCTCTCAACTCTTCAGACACAGATCACAGTGTTCTCCTGACAAGGTCAACATTCTCACAACTCTTCAGACACAGATCACAGTGTTCTCCTGACAAGGTCAACATTCTCTCAACTCTTCAGACACAGATCACAGTGTTCTCCTGACAAGGTCAACATTCTCTCAACTCTTCAGACACAGATCACAGTGTTCTCCTGACATGGTCAACATTCTCTCAACTCTTCAGACACAGATCACAGTGTTCTCCTGACAAGGTCAACATTCTTTCAACTCTTCAGACACAGATCACAGTGTTCTCCTGACAAGGTCAACATTCTCTCAACTCTTCAGACACAGATCACAGTGTTCTCCTGACATGGTCAACATTCTCTCAACTCTTCAGACACAGATCACAGTGTTCTCCTGACAAGGTCAACATTCTCTCAACTCTTCAGACACAGATCACAGTGTTCTCCTGACAAGGTCAACATTCTTTCAACTCTTCAGACACAGATCACAGTGTTCTCCTGACAAGGTCAACATTCTCTCAACTCTTCAGACACAGATCACAGTGTTCTCCTGACAAGGTCAACATTCTCTCAACTCTTCAGACACAGATCACAGTGTTCTCCTGACATGGTCAACATTCTCTCAACTCTTCAGACACAGATCACAGTGTTCTCCTGACAAGGTCAACATTCTCTCAACTCTTCAGACACAGATCACAGTGTTCTCCTGACATGGTCAACATTCTCTCAACTCTTCAGACACAGATCACAGTGTTCTCCTGACAAGGTCAACATTCTTTCAACTCTTCAGACACAGATCACAGTGTTCTCCTGACAAGGTCAACATTCTTTCAACTCTTCAGACACAGATCACAGTGTTCTCCTGACAAGGTCAACATTCTCACAACTCTTCAGACACAGATCACAGTGTTCTCCTGACATGGTCAACATTCTTTCAACTCTTCAGACACAGATCACAGTGTTCTCCTGACAAGGTCAACATTCTTTCAACTCTTCAGACACAGATCACAGTGTTCTCCTGACATGGTCAACATTCACACAACTCTTCAGACACAGATCACAGTGTTCTCCTGACATGGTCAACATTCTCACAACTCTTCAGACACAGATCACAGTGTTCTCCTGACA